AAGCAAAATCGTAACAATGGTATACTTGCTATTTAGAAACATTATAGTTAGTTTTAATTTTATTTTTTTTTAAGTTAATCTTTCTTTTTTATGTGCCAGGACGTAGGCGATCATGGCTCTCCACAGCCCTCTATCCCTTGCAGCTCTCAACAAGTTCTTTCTCTCTGCTACCTCCTCAGAGTACATTCTGCCATCCACCTGCTTAAGCCCGCTAGGCATGTTACGCGTTGTTTTCCTTTGTCTTTCGTTCTCTATTCGACCTGTGAGTATCAGATTCTCTAGGCCCTCCTTCCTCATTATATGTCCCAGGAACTTCAGCTGCCTCTTCCTGATGTTAAGTATAAGCCTCCTCCTTGTTTGCAACCTCTCTAAGACCTTATCATTGCACACACGCTCGGTCAATGATATCCTTAGCATCCTTCTGTAGAACCATACCTTCATTGCCTCGGGTCTCTTTTTCTTAACAATTAATAGGATTTTTAAAAATTGTGCATAAAATAAACATCTATGAACTATCAATAGAATTGGTACATAGAAAAATGTTAAAATAAATAGTCGGTTGATTGTTTTTGTTTGGTGGCATATCAACACCTGTATGGGTTATTTAATGCCGAAATCTAAATATTTTATACGTAATTCTATGTTTTAACTGTCATTTTGCTATAAAAAAAATCTATCGTTAGTCATTTTATTATAAAAAGATACCGTTGATTTTTGTTTAGGGGTTCAGTATTTGCCCATAGTTGGGATTCGAACAGGTGCTACCACGCCTGGTCAGGGTGAAATTGGGAAGAACAGCAATTAATTTGTGTAACTGGACGATATATGTTGCGTTCACTTTCAAAGTTGATTGGTTGATTTTTTGATGGCATATCAACACATCTATGGGTTATTTAATGCTAAAATCTAATATTTTGTACGTAATTTTATGCTTTCAACTATAGATATTTTGTACATAATTATATATTCAGAGAAAAGTTATGTTTTTTAAATATATATTTTGTAGATCATAAAATATATTGTTGGTAATTTTACTATTAAAATGTATTGTTGATTTTTATATGGGGGTTCACTATTTTGAACGGAATTTTATAGCATCAACTAAATATATTTTGAATGCAATTCAACAACGGATAAAATTTGATCATTTTGATTTAAATATATATTGTTGGTTGATTTTTTTTAGTGGCATATCAACATCTCTATGGGTTATTTAATGCCGAAATCTAAATATTTTGAACACAGTTTTATGGCTTCAGCTACATATATTTTGAAAACAATTGTATGTCTTCAAATAAAGATAAAATGTACTTTTGGTCATATTGATTTAAGTATGTATTATTGGTTGGTTGATTTTGTTTAGCGGCATACCGACACCTGTATGGGTTATTTAATGCCGAAATCTAAATATTTTGAACACAGTTTTATGGCTTCAGCTACATATATTTTGAAAACAATTGTATGTTATCAAATAAAGATAAAATGTACTTTTGGTCATATTGATTTAAGTATGTATTATTGGTTGGTTGATTTTGTTTAGCGGCATACCGACACCTGTAATTTAATGCCGAAATCTAAATATTTTGAACACAATTTTATGGCTTCAATTAAATATATTTGGGAATCAATTGTATGCCTTCAACTAAAGATAAAATGTATTTTTGGTCATTTTGATTTAACTATGTATTATTGGTTGGTTGATTTTGTTTAGCGGCATACCGACACCTGTATGGGTTATTTAATGCCGAAATCTAAATATTTTGAACACAATTTTATGGCTTCAATTAAATATATTTGGGAATCAATTGTATGCCTTCAACTAAAGATAAAATGTATTTTTGGTCATTTTGATTTAAGTATGTATTGTTGGTTGGTTGATTTTGTTTGGCGGCATATCGACACCTCTATGGGTTATTTAACGCTGAAATCTAAATATTTTGTACATAATCATATAATATCAGAGTAAAGCTATATTTTCTAAATATATATTTTGCAGGTCATAAAATCTACTGTTGGTGATTTTACTATAAAAATGTATTTTTATATTGTTTTAGTTTTGTATTTATTGTGATTTTTCTGTAAAAATGTATTGTTGGTTATTTTGTTATAAAAAATGTACCGGTAATTTTTGTTTATTTGAAGAAAATAATAATACAATCTAGTAATTGTCTTGAAAAGTACCTCCAATCAGTTGTGGACTGGGGCAGGAATTGGCTGGTTAACTTTAACGCCTCAAAAACAAAACTGCTCTCTATTACTCACCAGAGAGAAGCATCCCTGGCCACCATTAGAATGTCTAACACTCAACTCCATGAGAGCACCTCTTTGAGACTACTCGGTCTCACATTGTTTGCTGACCTGAGATGGAACAAATACATTGAGTCAATAGCTTCGTCCACCGCAAGGAAAGTTGGTTCCCTGTGCCGCGCCAGGAGATCCTTCAAATCTACAAATCAACCATTCGCCCTTGCATGGAGTATTGCTGCCATATATGGTCTGGAGACCCTTCTGTTTGTCTCAAGGTCCTTGAAAAAATCCAGGGACGGATATGCAACGTAATTGGCCCTGATCTGGCATCTCGTCTGCCGTCGCTCTCTCACAGACGTACCGTCGCCTCCCTCTGTCTGTTCTACAAATACTTTCACGGTAACTGCTCCGATGAGCTGCTTTCGCTGCTTCCCAGACTTCGTGAATTCAAGCATACAACTAGGCTGGCATATCGCTCTCACCCTTTCACTGTCGAAACTGTTAAATGTAGCCGTCTCTTCTACTCCAATAGCTTCATGTATCACACTTCTCACCTGTGGAACTCCCTCCCCTTCTCCTGTTTCTCTGATAGCTATATTCTACAAGTATTCAAATGTAATATAAATCGACGTCTCTAGATGCTTTGATCTATCCCCTATCCTTCTCTTCATCCTTTCCTCTATCACTCCTCTTTTCTTTCGCTCCAACTCTCTGTAACCGCTTGCATGCTAATGGCTTCCCGCCTTGCTTGGGGTGAAACGCTTAAAAAAACATGTTCACGCAAACATGTATATGCACAAAAGCGGAGTATCATTTACCATGTATTCGACTGTGAATGTAGAATAATATATATCCTATTTTCATTACATCATTGCTTACAACAAGATTAAATTTCGGCATTAAATGACCCATAAGGTGTTGATATGTGGTTAAATCATATAATCAATCAATCAACCAGTCATTTAAAATTAATTGTAAATAGGAAGATTAATAAGTGACTTTGAGGCTTCTGTTTGGCTACTCACGTGATATCTACTATCAGTACTTAACTCTTAGTCTAATTCCATGATATTGTAAATTGCGTGAATGTGATCTACTTTTCTATCAGATCGGGTAGATTTTGACTATTGCACAAAGGCAGAGAGCCAGTGCCAAAAGCGCGTTTCCATGTTTCTTGTTTCTTTTAGTGCTAATAATTTCGGAACTCTGTCTTAGAATTTTGCTTAGCGTGCTGTTCTTGAACTTTATTAAAAGTTTGTTTCGCCAGAAGAACCTTCATAACGATAGCCTTGTTCCAGACTTTAGCCTTGTTCAAGTCATGTTTAATTTGCGTTGATTCGTACTTCTCGATGTTTCTGTATCAGAAACGAAAGAGGAACTAGAAGAATGTGTTGCGCCAAACATTCAAATGGGAAGAGCTTTTCTGAAAATATTTATTCGAGATATACATATAGACATAATTCAAATACCGATCTCCGGTAACAATGGAAAATGCACAACTGCCTTAACCACTGAGTAAAATATGTTATTTAAAGTAACAAATAGTTTACCTGGTAGCTGAAGTAGTTGCGTTCTACTTCTTGACCTATTTGGCTGATTTTATCAGTAGATTAGGATTCTGTGGATTTTCTTTTAATCATTTCATCCCAAGCAAGGTGACAATACCACTAAGGCACAAGGTACCGGAAACCCGATTCTAAACAAAAAGAAAAGATAAACCTCTACTCATATTCAAAAAATCGGGGAGGAGTGTCAACCGGGCGAAGAGAATGAAAGAAAAAGGAAAACACTGAAAGAAAGAAAGAAAGAAAGAAAGAAAGAAAGAAAGAAAGAAAGAAAACAAAAAAAAAAAAAAAAACCAAAGAAAGAAAGAAAGAAAGAAAGAAAGAAAGAAAGAAAACCAATAAAAGAAAGACAAAGGAAAGGAAGAAAGAAAGAAGGAAAAATAAATAAAAAGCAGAAAATAGATGGAAAAACAGGGAAAAGAATGAATGAATATAAAGTAGAATAATAAATAAAAATAAATAATAAAAGGAAAAAGAATGAATGAAAAACAGAAAATACGATAAAGAAAAAAGTACAAGACAAATGAATGAAATAAGAAAGAAAGACTGTAAAAATGAATAAAAAATAAAATATAAAAAAGTAGTGGTGAAGACAAAATTAAGAAAGAAAAAGCAAAGAATGAAAAACAAAATAGAAGAAGAAATTTAGAGGTAAAAAAAAACAAAATGAAAAAAAAGAAAAAAAGAAAAATTGAGTAAAAAATAGTAAGGAAAACAGAAAGTAAGAAAAAGAGAAAGAAAGAAATTTAATGAAAATGTAGAAAAATAACAAATAAAAATGAATGATCGTGTGAAAAATTAGCAAATGAAAAAAGAAAGAAAATTAAAGATTATAAAAAGGGAAGAAGAAGAAACTGAAGGAAAAATAGAAAATAGAAAAGAGAAAGGAAAGTAGAAATTTGAAGAGAAAAAGAAAGAAAAAATAATCTATGCAAAGAATGAATGAATTAATGAATGAATGAAAGGATAAATGAATAAAAAATTAGAATGAAACAATGAAAGAAAGAAAAAACGAAAAAGAATGTATGAATGAATGAAAGGGTTTAATGTATGAAAAGTAGAAAGAAACAATGAAAGAAAGACAAAATAAAGAAAGAAAAAGTTAAGGAAGGAAGGAAAAAAGAAAGAAAAATCAAAGAAAGAAAGAAAATGAAAAATGAATGAATGAAAGAGTGAATGAATGAAAAATTAGAAGAAACAATGAAAGAAAGAAAGAATGAATGAATGAATAAATGAAACGTTGAATGAAAAAGTAGAAAGAAAGAAAGGATAAAGGAAAAAGTAGAAAGAAAGGATAAGAAAAAGAAAGAAAGAAATAAAGAAAAAGAATGAATGAATGAAAAGATAAATGAAAAAGTAGAAAGAAAAAAGAAAGAAAGAAAGAAGGAAAAAAAGAAGGAAAAAAAGAAAGAAAGAAAGAATGAAAGAAAGAAAGAACGAAAGAAAGAAAAAGAATGAATGAATGAAAGGATGAATGAAAAAGTAGAAAGAAAGAAAGGATAAAGCAAAAAGTAGAAAGAAAGAAAGAATAAGAAAAAGAAAGAAAGAAAGAAAAAGAATGAATGAATGAAAGGATAAATGAAAAAGTAGAAAGAAAGAAAGAAAAAAGAAAGAAAGAAAGATAGAAAGAAGGAAAGAAAGAAGGAAAAAAGAAAGAAAGAAAGAATGAAAGAAAGAAAGAACGAAAGAAAGAAAAAAATGAATGAATGAAAGGATGAATGAAAAAGTAGAAAGAAAGAAAGAAAGAAAGAAAGAACGAGAAAAAGAAAGAGAATTAAGGAAGGAAGGAAGGAAGGAAGGAAGGAATGAAAGCATGATCGATGTACATAGATTGTTAAGAAAGAAAGAAAGAAAGAAAGAAAGAAAGAAAGAAAGAAAGAAAGAAAGAAAGAAAAAGAATGAATGAATGAAAGGATAAATGAAAAAGTAGAAAGAAAGAAAGAAAGAAAAAGAAAGAAAAAAAGATAGAAAGAATGAAAGAGAGATGTAAAGTCCACTAGCGAGGGAGAATTAGTTTCGGAAGGAAGAAAAGGCTGTCTATTGATGAATACTTATTTTATGCAACAGCCGAGGGGGTGAGAGGAGAAGTCGATGGCGGCAAGCAAGTGTAACGTTTCTTAATGTTTGGCCGGCTTTCAACAGAGAAATCAAGTGTCACTTTTAATAAGGCCTTGTTGGGCCAATCAAAATGGTTTGGACGTCATTCGCCATTACTCAACGTTGCTTCATTTGGCAAAGTCATAACACAAACGCCGGTTTTTCAGAATGAAGTCCACAGCCAATCGCGAGGCCGGATCTTTTAACTCTTTCAGAAGGACATTTATTACGCGAATGGCTCGATTTCTACACAGTACTATTCCAGCAGAAATGCTAACGAATGATACAGATAAAGGCTGAATTAATAATTCTTTAGGCTCAAAAAATAAAGTCTCTCATTACTATCTTCGTCGTTTTTGTCAGAAAAAAACTTTTGTACAAAACAAGGAAACAAAGACAGCATGAGAAAGTTCCCTAATTAGACTGGAGTAGTTAGAAAAATCAATAGAAAATATGATAATTTAGGTAGTGTCCAGAATGAGATAGATAGATAATTATAGATAGATGATAGATAGATAGATAGATGAACGGAGACAGATAGATAATAATAGATAGATAGATAGATAGATAGATAGATAGATAGATAGATAGATAGATAATGAGAACACTCAGGTAGATATGAACGGAGACAGATAGATAAATAGATAGATAGATAGATAGATATGAAGAGACTTAGATAGATAGATAGATAGATAGATAGTTAATGAGAACACTCAGGTAGATATGAACGGAGACAGATAATGAGATAGATATGAAGAGACTTAGATAGATAGATAAATAGATAGATAGATAGATAATGAGAACACTCAGGTAGATATGAACGGAGACAACAGAGATAGATAGATAGATAGAAATAGATAGATGAATGAATGATGATAATGAGAAGATAGATATGAAGAGACAGATAGATAAATAGATAGATAGATAGATAGACTTATGATAGATAGATAGATGAATAGATAGATAGATGAGATAGATGAACGGATAGATAGATAGATGAAGAGACTTAGATGAATGATAGATAGATAAATGAATAGAAGATAGATAATGAGAACACTTAATATGAACCAGATAGATAAAAGATTAGATGATTGAAGAGACTTAAAATAAAATAGATAGATGATCATCGCTTGATACAAGATACAGATATAAATATAGATAGATATATATATATATATATATATATATAAATAATATAGCCTAAGATTGTGGGATTGATATACGTATATATATATATATATTATATATATATATATATATATGGGGATGCGTTATATAATTTTATATATAAAGAAAGATGTATGAGAAAGGTTTCGTGACGTTTCATCCGTTAAGACTTCATCAGACTAGATTTGTTTACGTTGTTGCTGTGATTGCACAATGCACATTAACGAGAGACACTGAGAGTTTTAAAATTGAGAAATTAATTCGAAATCCACAATCAATTTATGTCCAGGTTCTTACAACATTTCATCATTCTTAGCAGGTGATCTGTGATCACAATGTGGCTTCGGGTTAATAATGTGGACGGGTTAATAATATGTGTTAGGGTTAATAATGTGGGTTAGAGTTAATAATGTGGGTTAGAGTTAATAATGTGGGTTAGAGTTAATAATGTGGGTTGTGGTTTAATAACAAAGATGGTGAAAAGAACAAGAAAAAGGATTATAGATGAATTTGAAAGAAAAAACATATTTCTAAATAAATTTCTAAAATACCTTTGATCTATGTTTTTTTTCCTACTTTTAATGTGTGGAGAATTGTCGGTTCAGTCGGGGGAAGGATACTTACCTGGGTTGTTGGTCCTTTTTAACTAAAAGCTGTTACCTTTTTACTAATTTTTTTAATAGTTACACGGTCTCGTGACATGTTACCACGTGATCCTTGAAGTGTTTTTTTTTTTTTCGTTTTTTTTTTTCCGCTCTTATTGTAACTCAATGCAAGTTATCAGACGATTAAGCTACGTCGCGGAAGGAAATATTTTTTCCTAACTTAAGGTAAGAACTTTTGCTCCTTTCCTCGGCCCTGTCTTTGGACATTTTTGTGGGGGTTAAGATTTTCTTATTTTGCGAAAAAATATATTAATCTCACATGTATCTGTTATGGATAACAGTAGGGACGGATTACTGAGAAATATTTCTTTTCTACGATCAAAGATAAGGACAAATCTGGATGTTGATAATCAGGAGGACGAACTCTATGTGAAGATATTTGGGGGGGGCACTTCAAATAAATAAGCTTTAGTTTTCTTTTGAGAAGTTATCAGACGATTAAGCTACTTCGCGGAAGGAAATATTTTTTAGCAACTTTAGGTAAAGTACTTTTGCTTCTTTCCACGGCCGGTACCTTCTCTGAACATTTTGGGGGTTGACATTTTCTCGACAAATCTTCGTCTTTTGAAAATTTCATTTTCATCTTAGATGGTTACAGTAGAGATGAGTACTAAAAAATACATGTGAAAATACCATTTATATGCAAGGTAGAGATGTTTTGAAATGTAAATCATTGAAGACATTTGGCTAAATATACGTATTGTTTTCTTGGGTTTTATCTATTTTGCTACTGGGTCATCGTCATCCTTGACCAGGGCGAGAGGTCATCTGATGTTCGTGGAAGCAATTTGCAGAAGGCAAACAGGAGAACGTTTGGAATAACCTGTATGCAATAACTTGATTTGTAATCACTAAAGAGAACACACTAAATGAAAATTCAAAACTTCTTAACCAAAACATTTGTCTTGTCTCAGAAGTAGCTCATTGATTGCATATGTTGTCTGAAATCTCTATAAAGATCAAACAAAACCTCAAAGTGGAGAAATAAGTTGGTAAATGGGTTATTTCTATTACATTACAACTATTTACTAAGCGTATCTTTGATTATTTTCATTATTCCGACTGTTACCCTCACCTTTATTGCCATACTAGCAGCATGACTCGGCGTTGCCCGTGCTTGATTCAAAAATCGTACGACTCATACAGCAATCTCTATCACTTGACTTATAATATTTTTGCCCTTCCTTGTCTTTAAAGGAGTGCCCTTTGCCGTGCTGATGTTGCTACATGCTTTACTTCTTGCCTATCTTACACTGCGAATTTTTTCTAAGCTCTATACTAAACATTAAATCTGTTACGAAAAAAGAACAAAACAAAATGAACACAAAACGTTCAGCTTTAAAAAAGGACTCGTAACTGAAAAAACCGAATGAAAAAAGAATGTTAACAACAATACTTTTTCACACCCAACCCAGTTCTGCGGAATCAGAATCAACGTTGAGTTTAAGCAAGCGAATGAGCCAATTGGAGTAAAGAGCCATGCAGATTTAAATTTTTCCCACTTGTGACGAATGCAGCTATCGAGTTTTGCATGCTAGCATGCTAGTTAACATTCGTTTCAGTCAGCTGTTGGCTCTCACGCTGGCCAATAGAATCTTCCTGCCTATTCGTGTCAGCCAGCTATAGGCTCTCACTCTGGCCAGTAGAAAATGGCCGCAAACTACATGAAAACTGCCGTAGAAGCATGAAAAAATCGATTAATTCCACTATCGATGGGAGTTGGGAAATGCAAAGTCGGTCTTGGCCTTCTCACTACATTGGAGCATATGCATGTAAATTTTGGTGCAAATCCGTCGAAAATTGCGGCCGTGCATTCGTTACACACACACACACACACACACACACACACACACACACACACACACACATCCTGCCTTTTATAGATAGAGATTCACGATATTGCGGCCGTTGTATGCTCTGGCTTTCTTCAGTTGATTAGAATTTCGAACCAAACCCTTTATTTCGTCCACTAGGATAGATTGACTAGATATACCGATTAGAGGTAGACTGTTCTAGTTCCACGTGTCATGCCTCTTCTGAATGTCCCTTTAGCTCAACTCACTTTTTTTTGATTCACCACTGTTGTGGCCTGGTATTGAACTCACAACTCTTCGGGTATAGTCCCCAGATCTAAACAACGTCTTTTCCCACTGGGCCATGTGTCCTTGAATCTTTGGGATTTATATATCTAATAACTATTTTTTACCAGTGCTTATAATGCAATTTTTCTGTTATTATTATTGCATTTTTATCAGATCTTATATTGCAATTTTTGTTGTTTTTCATTGCTTTTCCCGAGCACTCCTTATTACTGGTTCCCATATTATATTCATGTCTATGTTTGGTCGGCTCAGGAGATTTTTGTGGCTGGGCAAAGATGTGTTCAAAAAAATTGAGCAAGCAGTGAGGGTCGATCTTACTATTCAGTGGTAATCAATCAAGCAAGACTAGTTTACTAATGGTTCCACCATTCTTATTAAATTATAATTAACTAAGTAACTTGTGATATATAGATGATTAGTAAACCAATATTTTCTTCTGATTAATAAATTATCTAAGTAGAGGAAAATAGAAAGGAAAGTTCAGCAAGGGTGTGCTGTTTCACGGGATTTATTCAATATTTACAGCAAGGCGATCTTAAGAGAAATAGAACGTTCAGCCATTTTGTGAAAGCCTCATAGAAATCTACGACCCTTGTCACAGATTCCTTTATCTCAATATCTTCGAAATAGCCATACCTAAGTTCCTTAAGCTTGGATAATAACAAAAAGTCACAGGGAACAATGTCTGGACTACAGAGAGCGTGAGGGAGACTTTTGATACCCATCAAACACCTCCCTATTGTTTTCCCTTCTGTTCTTCGCAGAGCACCCTGGGAACGAACTTTGCGCATGCCCAAACCTTCATAAATAATCATATGTATAGCTGTCACACCATTTCCAAACAGTATAGACACACGATGGTCTTCATCGAGAACACTGAGTATTTGCTCACCTAGGCCTGATGTTCTAACGTCTCATTTTCTCCCCATCTCTTACCTTTTTTCTATTTGCCAACCTCCCTACGAGGCAAGAGGTGACACAAGGCCAGTTTTTAACGTAGGAAGTTCCGAGCCCGTAGGCTCTGGCAAAAATTGCTCGTAGATCCCGTATACATGGGGTCGGGTTGGTCTACATCCCCAAAAAAGACTTGTGCCCTTCGGCATAAACCTCTTCTGGGTTTCTCTCCGCCCGGAGGCAGAGGAATTCGACAAAAGAGGAAGAGAAAGCCTTACCTACTCTCTGCCGTCATTGAACCTCCAGTGACAGCGAAAAACAGATTCTCGTCTCAGACAAGTTTATCCATAAGTAGTCTTGAACATTTATAAGTTTCTGTTGCCAGATGAACAATTTTTATTGCTTCCAAATTGTCTTCTGGTGACAAGCAGTATTTAGTATGGTATGTTCAAACGGCTGTTACAGTCTTCTCTTTTAATCTGGAATAACAAAATTTCATCTCATGAGACATAGACTAAGCACATACTAAAATCAGAATAATCTAAGACAATTATAACGGCTTCTAAAAAGTATCAAAAGTTTGGTTTGTTTTACGACAGATCAACGTCAAAGGGTCATTTAATGCCGACAAATCTATATCTGGTAATATTTTTCCTTCAAAAATCTATATCTGTTAATATTTTTTCCTTTAAAAATCTATACATGGTGACTTTTTTTCCTTCAACAATGTTTAGCTGCTATTTTTTTTCAAAAATGTATAGAAGGTAATAATTTTTCCTCAAAATATTTATTGCTGTTATTAAAACCTATCTTTCATAGTGTTTTTCACCCAGATTGGGTCTTAACTATTTGCCGATAGTTAGGACCTCCGGCTAATAGGTGCTACCACATTAGGTCAGGGTGGACCTGCGAACACCAGCAATTAAGAGGTGATTCCATGCTCTTCAAAACCACCTGAGACCTTGCTATTAGACGTAGGTTATGGTCTTACCCAGGATGCGGATGTAGTTTATCGTCATACACAGGACGGAAATATGATATTGTATATGAGAAGCTCAGAGTCCTCATTAAATTATCGAATCACCGTGGATAGTTCAAGAAAGAAACAAAAGCCATTGCTTAATCCGACATGTTGTTTTGCAGGAGAATTAAATGCCAACATTTCCATTTGGGAAGCCGTGACTTGTCCACCAAATACTAAAACCCAAGAGCCACTCAAGATAGTTTGTTGCTAAATAATATTGCAGTAAGGGCGTAAAATGAACATTATCGGCTTATAGATAACAGTTAATTCTAGAATTGAAGAGGTCATGGTTATACTGACCAGGAAGAACCCTCTCGGGAGTGTGTTCTATAATGTAACAGTTATGGGGGGGGAGATGTCTGACTTGAACTTCCTCCTTACTGATGGAATATGAAGGGCAAAGGTAATTTTTCGACCCTGTGTGCGTAGCATAGCAAATCCTAGCTATGAAAAGTGACATGGTGGAACGAAAGAATGTAACACGTTCTGAACATTTGCCATGGAAATAGCGATAACTTAGCGAGAGTTTTGCAACGTTTCGTCTGTGGAGAAAGGGTTTCAAATCTGGACAGTGAGCTATCGGGTAGCTCTCCACCATGTTTCCGTTTATCCTTTCATATTTTCTTTCCTTCTTCTAAATCGCCATCTTTCATTGACTTTAATATTTCCTTCTCATTTCTTCGATTTCTCTTCTCTCCATTCATTTTTTTCTACGAAGTTTAAGATTTTTTTTTCTATTTTCATTCTTAAATGAAACCGTTTACTTGTATTATTTACATTATTCGGACTGTTATCCTCATCTTCATTACCATATTCCCAACTTTTCGGCCGTTGTACGCCCCAGCCTTCTTCGAGATATATGGTCCAGTGAATAAAGACGTTGGTTACATCCAGTGAATTATAAAGCCTCCAAAACAAAACTTTCATTTATTTGTCTATATCTCTGAGATGAGGTATTATGATTACTTACATTATTCGGACTGTCATCCTCATCTTTATTGTCAGATTCACAACGTTTCGGCTGTTGTGCGTTCCGGCCTTCTTCAGGACACATGGCCCAGTGGATAAAGACGTTGGTTAGATCCAGTGTAGTATAAAGCCTCCAAAACAAAACTGCTTTCATTTATCTGCCTATATCTCTGAGATGAGGTATTATGATTACTTACATTATTTACATTATTCGGACTGTTATCCTCATCTTCATTGCCATATTCACGCTCCTGCATTCTTCAGATGATTTTAATTTCGAACTGAACCTTTTATTCCGTCCATCGGGGTAGATTGTTCTAGTTCCACGTGCCTGTGTCTTTCTCTATAACTCTTCAAATTTTTGAGTTCACCATTGCTGTTGCCAGGTATTGAACTCACAACTCTTTGGGTCTAGTCACTGGATCTAACCAACGTCTTTATCCACTGGGCTATGTGTACTTGGAAATGAAATCTGTTAGAATTTTAAAGCATTTTTCGTTTGGTTCAATTTTCTTTAATATTTTGAAGGTCTTTTTTTTTCTTTTTCTTCCAGTTTTTCATTAATAGATTCTATATTTTCTAGTTTTCTCTCTTTTCTCCTCTTTTCCAATCTTTTTCATTTTCTTTCTTTCTTTCTTTCATTTTTCTTTCGTTTTGACCATCTCGACGTGGTGGTCAGCAAACTTGTCTCACTTGAACGCTTGCAACTGAGCAGTAAGTTCTTTCCTCACTGGGTTACCATACTTTCGGCCTTGTGCCATATCTAAACCCCGCATTTGAAAGCCACCATTTTTCTTTCTCTCTTTTTTTCTTCCAGTTTTTAATTAATACTTTACAAATTTTATTTTTCTCTCTTTTTCCTCCATTTCATTAAATATGTCCTTTTTTTTCTTCCTTTTTCATTCTTTTTCTATTTCTTTCAGTTTTTCTTTATTACATTATTTTTGTCTGTTTTCTTTTGAATAGGAAATTTCTTTCTTTCTTTTTTTCTTTCTTTTATTTTTCTTTCATCTTTCTTTCTTTCTTTCTTTTGTTCATTCATTTTTGCATTCTCTTTCTCTTTTAAATTTTCATTAATATTTTCCTTCTTTCTTTTCTTTCATTCTCTTTTGTCTTTTTACTTCTGCTTAATTGCTGTTGTTTTGTTTTATTTTTAATATTTTCTTTCCTCTCAATTTTCTTTCGCTTCTTCATTCTTATGTACGGCCTCTTTCTTAAACTTTATCATCAATCTTTTCTTTCTTTCTCTTTTGTCTGTTTATTCGTTCACTTTTCTTATTTCCTCCTGTTTTTCATTATACGTTTGTTTCAATCTCTTTTAAAGAACTTCAAAGCATTTTTCATTTTCTTTAAAGCATTCTGTTTCTTACCTTCACTTTTTGCAAAACGCTATTTCTTTCTTTCTTTCTCTCTTTCTTTCTTTCTTTCTTTCTACTTTTTCATTCATTCATGCTTTTTTCTTTCTTTCTTTCTTTCTTTCTTTCTTTCTACTTTTTCATTCATCCTTTCATTTATTCGTTCTTATTTCTTTTTTTTTCTTTCTTTCTTTCTTTCTTTCTTTCTACTTTTTCATTCATTCATGCTTTTTTCTTTCTTTCGTTCTTTCTACTTTTTCATTCATCCTTTCATTCATTCTTTTTTCTTTCTTTTTCTTTCTTTCTTTCTTTCTTTCTTTCTTTCTTTTTTCTTTCTACTTTTTCATTCATCCTTTCATTCATTCTTTTTTTTTTCTTTCTTTTTCTTTCTTTCTTTCTTTCTTTCTTTTTCTTTCTACTTTTTCATTCATCCTTTCATTCATGCTTTTTTCTTTCTTTCTTTCTCTTTCTTTCTTTCTACTTTTTCATTCATCCTTTCATTCATTCATGCTTTTTCTTTTTCTTTCTTTTTTTCTACTTTTTCATTCATCCTTTTATTCATGCTTTTTTCTTTCTTTCTTTCTCTCTTTCTTTCTTTCTACTTTTTCATTCATCCTTTCATTTATTCGTTCTTATTTCTTTCTTTTTCTTTCTTTCTTTCTTTCTTTCTACTTTTTCATTCATTCATGCTTTTTTCTTTCTTTCTTTCTTTCTACTTTTTCATTCATCCTTTCAATCATTCATTCTTTCTTTCTTTCTTTCTTTCTTCTTTTTCATTCATCCTTTCAATCATTCATTCTTTCTCTCTTTCTTTCTTTCTACTTTTTCATTCATCCTTTCATTCATTCATGCTTTTTCTTTCTTTCTTTCTTTCTTTCATTTTTTCTACTTTTTCATTCATCCTTTCAATCATTC